GGGGGGGGGGGGGGGGGGGGGGGGAGAGAGATAAAGAGAGAGAGAGAATGCACAGGCTATGGCGGCTTACCAAGCTACACTGTGACAAATTATCCAGTAAAAAATCTAGATAGAAGGAATAAATCAGCTATATATACATATACATAGAGAAATATCGATTCATCTGAAATTAATCTATATATGCTTTACTTTATAGAGAGATTTATCGGCATATCAATATCTATTTATCAACAGAAAAACTTGCTTAGTCAGCTATAAGTTTGCTATCATTCATAGATACATATGTATATCAAATATATATTTGGAATATATCGATTTTCATACATATATCGATTCGCTAAGATCGAAAGGATTTTAAGCTCTCTGCAGTTCTTCGTAGAACTATTCATATCTCTAGCATGGAAATATCAAGAAAAATATATATTTAAGATACGGAGACTTTCATAAATATATTGATATGCTATAATCAAATTAAAAAAAAAAATATTATTAATTTGAATTTTAATTTCAATTGTATTACCTATGGTAATTCCATTCCATTTTAAAGAAATAGCCTCGAAGTATATAACAGAATATAGATTTTACGTATAACTTAAGGTAGATCCTTTCAATTTTAGAAATATCAATGAAGTATTTTGCCGAATATAGTCTTACGTATCACCTATGATAGCTCCCTTTCATCTCAAAGAAATATCAATTTAGTATATTAGTAATATAATATTACCGAATATAGATCTTAGGTATAGCTCATTTCCATTTCAAAGAAATATCAATTAACTATATTTCCGTTTACAGATTTTAAGTATCACCTATGGTAACTCCCCTCCGACTCTGCTGCAGTGCATAATTCTTTGGTTGCTGCTGCTGCTGTGGCTTCTCGGACTGCCTCTCGCTGTGGCTGTGCGAATGCAGAGATGGTAAACGGTTGGGATGTGCCATTGCAATGGGACAAGTGGAATGGGTCGTCAGCTGTGCCTCCAGCCACCTGCCACCCAGTGGCAACTCGTGCGTGCAACGCTCTTCATTAAACATATGTATATGCACTGGCTTACGAGCAGTTGCCGCAGCGAACGCACCCCCCGATCCTCGCCAGCGCTCTGGCCAGCCGAGCTGCTCCAATCGCATTGTGAATCGGATGCAACGATTAAAAATTAAATGTTGTCGTATTAACAAACAAGCTGCACCCGCTGCCAGTTGGCAGTGGCATCTTCGACCACAGAAGTGTTGCACTGAAAGAGACGTTCGATGGCGAAGGGCTGCACTTCACTGGCTTCACTGACTTTCCGCATGGCAGTATGCCGAGCTGAAAATCCTTTTGTGCATGTAAAATGCATGGAGGGCTGGCGTGGCGGACGCGCGACGTGTGAAATTTATGCACATATGTTGAATGCATTTAAGGCAACGAGCGGACAGAGGGAGTGAGTGAGATAGAGTGAGTGAGGAGTGAGAGGGCGCGGCATGTGGAGTGCAATGGACAACGAACTGGATGCAGTCCGTAGTCCATAGACTGCCAGACTGCCAACATTAAGACTCTCGGCTAGGTGATCAAAATTCATGGAAAATCAAGCAAAGCGCGCATATATTTCGGCAACGGCAGCGGAAAAACGGAATAAAAAAAATATGAAAATGAAATTGTTGGAAAATTGCAATGGCAATGGCAATGACTGTGTGCAACTGAACAGAGCAGCCCGAGAGTGCCACGAAGCCAAGGCACAAGTTGCAGCAGGACGTTCAGGCGAGTTAAATGAGTTGGAAATGCATTTGGCTTGCATGACACTTGGCATGGGCAAAGCTAATGGCCAAGAGCATAGCTGCTGCTGCTCATATTGATGATGTTGATGTTGCTGCTGCTGCTTCCTTCTTGCTGTTGCTGGCAGTCATTAAGGCCAAAAAATATGCTGGCCCCGTCCTTGGCTGATGAATTGCCGCCACTCACCCGAGCGTCTCAAGTTTTTCCAATCAATTAACAATCGGAATTCTTTCTTTATTTATTTTTATTTTTATATTGTCAAATTGCCATGACCCAAAGGGCCGCCAATACGATCCTCCAGTTGCATCATTAAAATTTAAAAAAAAGAATAAATTTCTATAAGTACATGGAAGACCTAAAGAAAATATTGCACAACTTCAGGTTTTTTTCTTCGGCCAGCACAAATAAATAAAGTGTAAAGTCACTTCGTTGGGCCGCCAAATAAGTAAATAAACAGCGCATCACTGAAAATAAAGCTAAACTATAATAGCGCATAATTGCTGAGATACTTAGTCTATTGATGCGAGTCTTCAGCCATAAAGGGGCTTGTTAGCATGGTCGTATATATAGCAGTGCTGGGTAGCATGGCATGGGATGTCGCTCTATTTAGCCAACTTGTCGATTTGTCACTTTCACTCGACAAGCATTTCATTAGCCTAATTTTTCGCTATTCGATTGCCGATCAAAGAGCAGCCGAAAGCTCTCTGCGTATTTCTTATACCTTTGAAAATGGGAAATCAGGGTATAATTGTTTTGTGAAAGAGTATGTAACGGGCAGAAGGAGGCGTGGCAGACCCCACAAGGTATATATATTCTTGATCAGGGCGACGAGGTGAGTCGATATAGCTCTGTCCGTTTGTCCGTTCGTTCGTCCGTCCGTCTGTATGAGTGCGTCGATCTCAGAAGTTACAAAAGCTAGAAAGCTGAAATTTGGCATGCATACTCGTGTATACCATACGCAGTACGAGTTTGTCTTATTTTTTCGATAAATCATCCGATAACTTGTTTTTATCAAGAATAATCGAAAATTTGATTTTGATTTTTTTCAGCCTCATTGGAATACTCTTAGACCTGGAGACTTCAGATTTACTGTGTATACACATATGTATGTGTACATGTGTATGTATGTATGTGTGCATAGAAGAAGTGCAGAATGATTAGAATATCAGCTTGGAGGGTTCAGGGTATCTCCTAGTCGAGCAGTCTCGACCAGAGCCTTCTTACTCGTTTTCATTGCCAGCCTTGCTGTAAGTACGTCCGTTCGTTCGTCTGCTCATTGCGGAAGCTCCTAAATGGATAAATTTGCTGCAAATTCGCTCTCTTAGTGATGAACGAGTATTATGCAGCCGAATAAGCTCGACTGCAATATTCTGACATGTTTTATTTTGATGATTCGCTAAGCAAACTAAATGAATGCTTGGACTGGCGTACGTGGCGTATGCGCAATGTTTTTTTTTTTCATATAATAGCTGTAATTGACGCTAACTTTGGCTCAGCTCAGTTCAGTTGTGACTATTATTGTGCTTTATTTTCCATATAGTTTCATCATATTCATTTAAGTAATTAGCTATGAGTGTTTGGATGTTGGAATCGGACACAAATATAGAATATAATCACCCGATTCTAAGAGACTCTAGTTCAGTTGAATTTTGTTGTATGTGAATTTTGATTTTGATGCGTACGCAATTTAAACAAGTGGACGATTTTCGATCTTGAACTGGATATTTGATATTGAGTACGGCATGTCGACTAAGGCCCGAACTTGGCTCTGACATTTATTGCAACAGCACATTATTTTGACGGTTGCGGGCAGGGTTGTGGCGGATGGGCATTGTTCAGCGAAATAGGCCTCCACTGCCTCCTGTTGGCTGCGGAACATGGCCTGGAGATGCTGCTTAAGCCGCTCCTCACTGCTCAAAGGAGTCAACGTCTGCTCATCCTCCGATTGGCTTTGCTCGCTGAGATCTAGCTCGGATGCCTCTGTTGAGGGCTGTGTGCTGGTCACATACTCCGATGTTTCGTTTTCACCGGCTAGACGGCGGTGCTCACCGTTGGCCCCGAACGGCGACAACGGCAGTGGAAACGGATCGTTTGTCATGCTGATTTCGGCAAAGCTCTTGGCCAGGCGATACAGTTCGCCGCTGTTGCCATCAATGAGAGCTATGGGGTCAAAGTACCAGGGTACCCTAGCCTTGGCAAATGCCGACTCCAGCAGCATATAGTTGTGCATCGAATCGTTGGCATTCGCAGGCCGATTGATGATCAGGATGCTGGCCAGTGCTCCAGGTCGCAGCTTGCCCATCAGGCGACACCAGACCACACCGTTGCTGAGATCCCTGAGCTTGTGACAGCGCGGCGTGCTCACCAGTCCCTTGATCCACTGCAACAGCTGCCTCGCCTCGTTGCTCTCGTGGCCCTGCGAAACTGCAATAAAAAGTCCATTAAATCGAGCCAATCACCAAGAACACAACTCGGCTGCCAACGGCCACTCACTGCTATGCATGTCGGGGTGATTTCTTATTCCAAATCAAATTTGTGTTAATCACTTGCAATTTTTAAGATGTTCCTATCTGGATTGCTACGTTCGAATTTGAGAGTTAAACGTAATACTCATTAACAGTTTGACACATAAAACGAAAAAAAAAAATGAAAAAAAAGCAAAAAACAAATTTAAAAACTTCCTATTTCACTCTCCCTTTCGACGGCTTTTCTCCCCCCGTTCGCCAATTAACACATTTATGTGGCCAGTGACCAATTGGCCAATAGGCCCAGCGCACTTAACTCGTTTACAATGGCTCAATTTGGCTTTTCACAGCCAGCTCAAAATCAAATGAATAGCATATTGTGCACGTTTCGATTGGACTGAATGTTGATTCGCAGCCGCATAACTTCCAAGTGCCCAGCACTCAGGCACTCACAATTCATTCGATTGATGTGTGAAACATTAGTTTATGACAATTGGAAATTTGATAGCTCTCAGCTCTGCATTCATCAAGTGACTAAGCAATGTTTTGCCCACAGATAGAAATGAATATAGATGAAGTCTCATCAATTATGGTTTTTAATGCTTGAAATACATATATTAAAATTTCTGTAAACGGTTCTTTATTCATATATTCATTTAGCTCATTTTAAAGTAAATTTTTATATTCAAATGCATCTAAAATAAACGATTTCCACTTCTGAATGCTTCAGCTTTATTTAAGTTTCAGTTCATTCATTCATATATTCATCTCGTATAATTTTCATTCATTCATTTAGTTCATTTTAAAGTACATTTTTATATTCAAATGCATCAAATGCTTTTCTGAAATAAACGACTTCCAATTTTAAATGCTTCAGCTATATTTAAATTTCAGTTCATTCATTCATATATTCATCTCGTATAATTTTCATTCATTCATTTAGTTCATTTTCAAGTACATTTTTATATACAAATGCAATATTTCAGCGTCTCTTATTTATAGCTCTTAATGCTTTAACTTTACTTAAATTTCTTAGAATTCAAGTTGTGATTCATTAAATTCATTCATTCATATATTTATTAACCTGATATTTATTCATTCATTCATTAATTCAGCTCATTTTAAAGTAAATTTTTCTATTAAAACACACTGAAATATATGTAATTTGACAAACAGACATCACACACACACCCACACACACACTTACACCTCTGTCTATTTACTAGTTTAGTTTTGTGTGTGGTACGTAGTGGCTCTTAAAAAATCTCTTGTATATTCTTTGTGCTTCCTGTGGCTAACTGCGCTGACTGTGTGCTGTGGTCAAGGCGACCCCATTCGAGACGCCCAATCTAGCTGGCGTTCCCGTTGCCATGCCTATGAACATAGCCAGCTTCAGTCCTAGCACCAGCACCAGTCCCAATGCCAGTGCCAGTGCCAGTCCCATTGGCGTTACCATGTCCAATCCCCCAGTACACATTGCCATTTGCTGGCAGCATGCAAATGAACGTTGGCCGGATACGGCACGTGCTCTCATCGGCTTCTCTCCTTTGGGGCGGTTGCCGTCACCTTTATGCGGCCATTCCGTTTCGCCACTGGCCGAAAGAGGCCGACCGGCAGCAGCAGCAGCTGCAGCAGCAGCAGCAGTTAGCCAGCTCCTGCGCGCAGTTGGACATGGCGCAGTGTTTTGTTAGAGACGGCGCCATCCTGTTGCAGGATGTGGTACGGTTACCTGCGCTTTCCAGCGCACACACAAATAAAATGCAAACAATGCTTGTTTCATTTGCGTAATAAAATATTTATACAGGTATTTAGTTAGCCGGACTCCGAAAGAGAAAGCGCACGCGAGAGAGAGAGAGAGAGAGAGAGAGAGAGAGAGCGAGAGAGGGATAGAGAAAAATAACAGCATAAAAATACCCGCGCCAAGAGAACGAAAATTAAGCAAAATGCCACGAAAAAAAAAAAATGACAAAAATACAAAAAAGGCCACCAAAATAACAAAAAAGTGGAAGAAGCAAAGAAGAGAGAAAATAAACGAACCCAAGGAAATAGACAGCTGCCCGCGGATGTGGCAGCAGCAGAAGCGAAATTTTTAGCCAAATGAACAACTTTAATAAAAAGCTGGCAATCTCTTTGATGCCGCTGCTGTGTGACCCATTGTTTTGGGCGAAAACAAAAAACGTCTAGACGTCATTTCTCAGCCGAGAGTCGCTCGAACACTACCCACACCCCACCCCACCCCACACCACACTCCTCCTCGAATCCGGCTGCCACAGACTGCGCCTCGTCCTGTCGCTGCTCGCGATATGTTAGATAAATCAGCACGCGCTGCGATTTGCGCTGACTTCACAGGCCGTTGCAGTCGCAGTTATCCTCGAGAATTATGGCCATGACGTGGATATTGCTTTCATTTATCATTGCGCCAGCATTAACCAACCGAGCAGCCCCCTCCCTCACCCATAGCTGACCGCACCAACCGAATTAAGCTGCGTGTCACGACGCTCAACTCTACTCAGCCCATCTCAAGAAACATATTGTTTCAGCTTCATGATTTTTCAATTTGATTAAAGCCTTTTTGTGGACCGATCTGATTGGTAATGGGAAATTCGGGCATCACATGGCTGACAGGCAGAAGCAGGCGTGGCACATCCCTTGAAGTATGCTAATTCAGTAAGCCGAGCCTAGCACTTTCCGCCTCTACATTCATCTGATCTGATCTGTCATCTGATTCGTCTGTCCATTCGCACGTCTGTTCGTCTAACTGGTTGTTTATCCTTCCCTCTTTCCGTTTATCCCTTCGCCCATCTGTCCGTTTGTCCGTCCATTCGTCCCTCTGCTCAGTCCGTCTTTCTGGCCGTCTAAGTCTCCGTCTGCCCGTCCTTCCCTCCCTATCCATCCGTTTGTCTGCTCGTCCGTCCGTGCGCCCGTCCCTTTGTCTGTTCGTCCTTCTGTCCGTCTATCCATTCCTCCATATATCCACTCGTCTATTCGTCTTTCCGTCCGTCTTCCCATCCGTCTGTCGCTCCGTCTTCTAATCCTTCGTCTGTTCGCCTTTCTGTCTTTCTCTTTCTCTGTCTGTCCATCCGTCTTACCGTTCGTCTGCCTTTCCGTCTTTCCGTCCGTCCATCTCTCCGCCCGTCTGTGACAGCTACAAAAATATTCCTAATATCCATGATTTTAATTCATTATTGAGTTAAGCTATTCATTTTTATACCCTGAACCCATTGAAAATGGGAAATCAGGGTATAATGGTTTTGTTGAAATGTATGTAACAGGCAGAAGGAGGCGTGGCAGACCCCACAAAGTATATATATTCTTGATCAGGGCGACGAGCTGAGTCGATTTGGCCCTGTCCGTCTGTCTGTCTGTCCGTCTGTCCGTCTGTCCGTCTGTCCGTNGGTGGCCTAGTGTGTTAGCTGCATGACGCTCGATCGAGAAGTCGCGGTTCGAATCCCGATCGATGCAACTGATGTTAATTTTTTTTAATTGTTTCAAAATATTTTTATATTTTATTAAATGAGTTTGGTATTTTATTTATATTTTTAAATACATCGAAATTGAAATTTCAGCCATACTAAATGAGCATTTTTATTTGTTGGGTTCAGGGTAGTATCTAGTCGAGCACTCTCGACTAGAATTTTCTTACTTGTTATTGCATCCAGTTCAGTTAAATTTTCACTGGAAATTGCACGTTTTGAGCCACTGTTTCGTTAGGCGAATACTAAAGTGTTTCGTATGCCTCGAGTGTGCTAAGTGTTTGCGCAGTGCTGTTGGCGTTTTCCTTCTGGCTGCAAATGGTTTTCCAAATTCCAGGTGCTGCTGAGCCCAAGTGGTTATCTTGGCCAGGGCTTTGCACGTTGGCTCTCTCAATAGGACGGCGGGCGGCTTTGACTGCAACGTGCTTTATCGCAGAGACGCTAATTAATCTGTGACGCCTTCAACTCCATTGTTGCGGCTGCTGCATCTTCGTGCAGGTCGAACTGATGGTATGGCCCCCGCCCCCCTCGCCGCCTCCAGCTGCTGCTGCCTTTTTGCAGTGCTGTAAACATTTTTAACACGTTTTTGCGAAACGGAAATTCTTCTAATATTTTTACATAATTTTATGTGCGACTACAACAAAAGGCGGAGGCAACGACAGCGACGATGACGACGACGACGACGACGACGACGGCCGCAATGACAATTAACAAAATAAACAAAATGTAGCAAAAAAAAAATGCGAGTGAGTGAGTGACTGAGTGAGTTGTAGGCTGTGGGCTATCTGCCACTTGAACGAGTGAAGGGRCCGAGTGGGGTGTAGGCTGTGGGCTGTGGGCTGTGGGGTGTGGAGTGTGGGGTGAAGGGACGCAGGGTTCGGCGCTCGCATCAGGGGTTGACATTTGCTGGACGGGGGGTCGGGGTCTCAGCTCGACTCTTGCCGTGGCACACAAACAGCGCACTTTAATGTGCGGTCAACAGTCAGGCAACGTCTAAATTTGAAATGTCAGCATTGTCAACGGCAATTTAGTCGCAACGCGGTGACAACACCACCAACAACAACAACAACAACAGCAACAGCAATCAGAATGAGTAGTTTTTTTTTTTTTTAAGCATCGTCGTTTGAATACACTTCAATCACTAAAATGCATATGCAAATAAGTATAGGGACGACCTGACTGAGTCTGGCTGGGGAACAATGATAAAAGTTTGTAATATAGACTAGAGCTAACGATTAGTTGTCCCACATTGATTTAGAGCTAATTACCGTTAACTTATACGTGCATGTTATAGACGTACCATACACATAGGGATTGCATCAACAGACATGTCATAAGCATACTATATGCATACATTGTTGCATTGATGCGATATACATAGTATACACAATTTTGCTTATACAAATAAAGTGTCTATATAGTACATACTATTTAGATTTGAATACTATCTGTACAAATATGTACATACATACATCACATCATAATATGCATACATCATATAAAGATAGCAACAATGTTTGCCTTATACTTATGACATGTCCACATGCTAGTAAATAATACTAATAATAA